CGCGACAAGACCCCGCCAACTGATGGGTTATCTTTCTCGCGGGGAACGGGCGCGAAGGTGTTGTTCGGGGCCAAGCGGCTACGATGACGCCGGTGATGACGGCGGAGGTACTCGTTGGGAACGGGGTCGACCTGCTTCTTGGCGGCAGGGACAAAATTCAAGTACAAGGGAAAGATAGCGCCGGCGCAGAAAAGAGCAACAAGAACGCTGTACGAGTAGGAAACACCCCCCGCAAGCTGGGCGGCGTACTGCGCGAAGGGGAAGAAAACCCCACCGCTGATGGCGGTGGCCAGCAGCGAAGCAGCCGTTTTCGTATGACGGGCGGTGCCACGGAGGGACAGGGCGAAAATGGTGCTGAATGCGCCGCTCTCAAAGAGGTAGACCATCAGACTCATGGCGACCGCCGTGGAGCCGGTTGTCTTCATGCATAGCACTGCAAACACAATCATGCCAATGTACGAGAGCAACAGGACCCATCGTGGTTTCAGGAACCACTGCAGGAAGGCGGTCAAAAACCGTCCGACCGCAAAGACGGTGTGTCCGATCGTCAAGTATTCGAAAGCGCCCATGCTGGAGCTACAACCGAGTTAGCGATCTGGGGGCTGGTCATCGAATGCAGCCGAGGGATTCTTACTTTGGATTCGCAGCCTCGACAAAGGCATCGAAACTCTGCGAAAGAACTTCCTGGCCTGCCACATAGAAGAATTGGGAAAACACCCCAAGCCCCAGGGTCAACCACACCACAGGCACTCCGAGCACTTTGGTCATATTGTCCTCGCGGCGACGGTCGGCCAGTTCTTCCAAATCTTCATCGGATGCCTCGGGGATGGGCAGATAGTAGAAGGCCACGGCTAGGAGCACGTCGAACAGAGCGATGCCCAAGTAGGTCCATTGGACGTCGACCAGAGATCCCACGTCAGTGACCTTTTTGAACAACACCTTTTTGGCCAGAAGAGGCGAAAGGACGCTTCCAATGGCCTGCACGCCCTGCGAGATATTGAGACGGATTTCCGAGTTCTCCAGCGGCCCGCAGAGAGCAATGAATGGATTGGCGGCTGTCTCCAACACAGCGAGGCCGAAGCCTACGATGAAATTCGAGACTGTAAAGGCAGAATACGAGGTCAACACGGCCGAGGGCCAGAAGATGAGCGTCCCACACGCGTATATACAGAGGCCCGTTATAAATGTCGCCTTGAACCCCCATCGCTTCAGCACAGTTCGACCGACCAGTGGTGGGCCCACCAAGTACCCACCAAAGTATACAGCATGAAGACCCAGGGAGCGCCACGAGTCCAGGCGGACGACCTGCTGAAATTGAGAGTTCAAGATGTCCAGTAGCCCATACGCGAAGCCCCACATAAAGAAAAGGATGGTCGTCAGTGCGTTCGGAGTGATAGATTCTTTGTTCGTCAACTTGAGCATGCTTGGCGGATTGTTCATGTTCACAAAGTCGAAGAACGTGATACCGTGCGGAGAAGACGTGCTGGTCATAGTAGCCGTATTGGCTTCTGCATCGTGACGAACCGATTCGGGAGACGTCAAGAACTCCAGCATGTCCATGGTCCCCGCTTGCATTCCCCGGGTGTCAGCGACACTACCACTGCTACGGCTTCCTGACTGTGATGCTTTATTCCGGGTGCTGCCGGATTGCGACGACGAGGGCGGTACATTGACAGGGACAGCGATGGCTCCCTGGGGAAAGGTGGTGGGAGGTTCGACCGAAGGAGGATGATTCAGATCAGCCGTGTTCGGAGTGTTCTCGTCCGTGTCTCTGATCAACTTCGGGATGAGACGAGCCACAAGGGGCTTCAGACTGGGGACACACGCGCACATGACGGACACGTTGACTTCGACAACCGACCACATGAACGAGAGAGATGAGTACCCTAGAAGCGCCGTCAGCGATCCTACGCAACTCGGAGGATAGATTGGAAGTCTTACAGTTAAAGTCGCCGCCCGAGGCAGATTGATAATGAAGATCTTTGACCGCGATTTGACGGGATGTGGCTGCATCCTGGATGTAGGCGATTCGGATCACATCGACCACGGCCACGAAGAAACCGAAGCTAAAGGTGATGACGAGGATAATCTTCTGTTTCCGAGGAAGGCGCATCTGCGTCAAAATGGGGTTTGGGATGAACAAAATGGCTAAATCGGTAATGATGTTGACCGGCGAGGAAGAAAGGTATAAGGTGAGGATATCGATACAACGCGCATTCGGCGGCAAAGGATACGAGTATGCAGCCCCTACCGGACGACATTGAAAGACATTGACGAGAGTGAGGGCTAAGCCAGCTGCATTGACGGCAAAGAGAGTCACGTAATTGGCCCAGCGGAAGACCTTTTCGCCCTTGGTCAAGGTCAGGTAGAAGACGAGGATGGAAGATTTGACGGCCATCAACGCCGGATTCTAGGGCATGGTATCAACGACAGCCATTCGTGCATTCTAGGGAGACCGAAAATTACTCACGTAGAGGACGGTAAAGGCATAGTCGGCACGGTTGAGACCGGGTCGATGGTCGGTTGGGATGTCATAGTCGTGCAGACCCAGACCCTTGCTGGTCGCGTAGAAGAGCGAGAACGAGAAGCCGAAGTCGATCAACTGAGGATGATTAGCTTTTTCCCATACGTCCAGGAAGGCGTCGAGGACTGCGGAACGCCTCAAAGAGTGCGCGACGTACCCAAGCCAGTAGCATCAGATAGTCATGCAGGCCAAGCCTCCGCACGACGAAGACCCGCGACACGAATCGCAGAGCTACAAAGACAGTCGCGAGAGCAAAAAATATGACCGAGACGACCAGTACCTCTGGTCTGCGATCCGCCATGCTGGAGGAACATGCACAGACCACTTGAAGCCTGTTCTCTGGCCTCCGGACCCAGAACCAACCACGAAGGTTTTAGACCCGCTCAAAAGCGATCTATAGAATTAAGCTCCCAGACGGAGGATATATATTCAAGAGTCGACTGCGGAACGACCCCATTGTCACCGAATCGCAAGTTCGGAAGGGCGAAAGCGGAACGACTGGCCAGCAGTTGAAGGAGAAGCCGGTGAAGAGCGTAGAACCTAATAACTTTAAAAGTGATCGCGGGTTCAAAGGAAGGGTGGAGAAGAAGCAGACGGTGACGGAGATGTCGAGGAAAGAGTGGAAAAGAAGAATTGGACTGGGGTTGGATTGATCAATAATAATAGGCAGAATATGAAGGGATCGAGAGATCGAGAAAAAAGAGAGTCGACGAGAGTTTAATGACGGTGGAGAGAAGATTCTGGGGATGTGAGGGGGAAATAATAAGAGGGATTTCCTCAAGCGGAGAAAGTACCAATCAATGGTCAACCAGCAACTTTATTTGTGTGGCTCGCGTGGGCCGACAGAGCCATAGTCCATAGGTATCTAGGTATGTATAGGAAATGAGGGGATAACTAGCTATTTAGAGACATTCTATATAATTGATGCTATTAATGATATGATCTTCTCGAGAAAAATAGCGGGTTGTTTTTCTTTTTGGGGAAAAGAAAACAATGGATTCTTGAACTCGACCAGCCTGACGGACAATAATAGTATTTCTGGGCATGCAGGGCCAGGGGGAAAAAACATGGAAGGGCGATCGTCGGAATGTGAGACGCATATTTGTCATTCTTTATCATGATCATTGATCATTTATCGTATGATATGAATTATCTACTTGGGAGGAATCGATAGGGAGGTACTTTTGTTCCTAGAGTTCTCTATCCTGACTTAAACTGCCTTGTAGAGCGGTATGCTAGTACCAGAATGATGCCTAACTTCTAAGGTATTATCATCATATCACCAAATAATAAACCGACGTAATCATGAGCCATGTCTCAGATCCTTCAACCTTCGAAGGCTTCATCCCCAACAATCTTGCTGCACGCTCCTGGACTAGTCTACCCCAGTTATTGTTTTCTCTCCTTTCCCCGTCCATGGCGCCGTTGAAGTTTGACCTCTTGCATGTTGTGGAACCGACGCCTCCCTCGTCGTTACTCGTCCATATCCCATCAGCCACAGGAAACTGACGAATCCGTCCCATCAAACTGACTCGAGGACTCAACTCGCAGAGGAAACCTTAATATTAATCATCTTGTTCCAGGGGAAGATCATCGGTTTGCTCTCTCTGTCAATCCGGATCATCCAAGTTGGATCTGCTGTGCCTCGGAAAAGACTCCCTTGCAGATTATTGAATGATCTCTGGGAACTCAGGGCTAGAAGCAACAATTGCAGGACTGGATGAAGGTTCACTTTCGAATACATGCTCACCATTAAGATTATGGATTGATTCTCATGAGTAGGTGAGTTCGCCTTGATGCCTTAGAGGCTAGGTTGGTGATCTTCACGACTCAGGGGCCAGTATTGTTTATTGTTTAGTGATTTGGCCAATATCATCTGACATCGCTCTTATCTGCATTATCTGTGTCTCATTAAACAATTGCTTTTGATCTTGCTGTAGATGGCGGACATTTTCTCGAAAGAGCGCATGTTGATGTCTTGGGATGATATGTTCATTCCAGCACCACTCAACGACCAGGTAATTCTCCTCTTCTTCACATAGAACATCGCGGGTCCAGCTCAATCATCTGATTACTGTTAGTCATGGATCTGGGATAAAGATGCAGAGATCCTCGCTTAACCTCGAAATGCGACTCTAAAGTGGAGACTGTCTCCTAACCCCCGCCTGTTGTTTCCATCACATGGCTGCTGCGCTGCTATCAATCTCGACTTCCCAGCTCAATCGACTCTCTACCTCCGAGGGAACCAAGACTTATCGATGTAACCTTTGCGCTCTTCACAGCTATGATTTGTGCCGGATTCCGTCGGTCTGCAGAGTTCTGTGGACGTGGTTCTGCAGAAACGCTCCTAACGAGGCTCCACCTGGATTGACAGCCATCTATAAGATCACGGCCTGCTCATCTCAAGTCTCTTGCCATAAGCAGGGAAACGCGCCTTTGATCTTCGGGCGAGCTTGCTAGGACAGCTTGAATCAGAATGAGATTGACCACTATTGTTGCTGCTCTCGCCTCGCTGGCTACCATTCACGGCGCGTCTGGCGCGAACTGGGCCAACACGATTTGGGATGAAATCAAAGAGACAATCACTTGTGCTGGATGCGAGGTCTGTTCTCAGTTACAAGCCTCGGAAAATCAGGATAGTGATTGATCTGTGACAGGGACTCTTGGGAACTCTCAAGCTGGTCGCTGGTCTCGGACCAGATGTCTTGATCAATGTCCTGACCGATGTGTGCAAGCTGGCCAAGGTATGTCATTGTCAAGCATAGCAGATGAGCCTTTTGATGTCCAAAAACCTGACTGCTCTGTCAGGTGGAGGACCCCGACGTCTGCGCTGGTATCATCGAAGCCGAAGGTTCCGCCGCATATTACGTCCTTAAGCAACTCAAAGTGGGCTCGCATACCTCGAAATCCTTCTGTTCGCAAATGGTTGGCCTCTGCAACTATCCCGAGGTTCGACCGTACAACATTTCCTTTCCCGTCCCCAAACCCTCGACGCATCGGCCCCCTCCGAGCGGCCAGCCTCCGATCCGGGTCGCGCACATCAGCGACACGCACGTGGATCGCGCCTACGAGACCGGCGCCAACTACGAATGCTCGAAGCCCATCTGCTGCCGTGCGTATACCGAGAATGACGCCCCTGGAAAGACCTCGTTTCCCTGTGGTCCGTACGGTCACCCCAAATGCGACCCGCCGCTTCGGCTCGAGGAGAGCATGATGGCCGCCATCGCCGCCATGGACCCGGCCTTTTCCATTTACACCGGCGACGTGGTCCCCCATGATGTCTGGTCGGTGAACCGGACTGAAGTATTGCACGATCTGAATGCGACATACCGCCTCTTGGACCAACTGGGTCTTGTCTACGCCGCCCTGGGCAACCACGACACTGCGCCCGTCAACCTCTTCCCCTCCGAGCGCATCCCCGTCTCCCACAACCCACAATGGGCCTACGACGCCCTCGCCGAAGACTGGACGAACCTGGTGGGCGGTCCGCTGTCCGCGCCTGTTGTGCATGCGACCGACCAGTTCGGATCGTACTCGGCCATCCACCCGGGAGGCAAGCTGCGCATCATATCGTATAACAGCGTCTTCTACTACACGTACAACTTCTACGCCTACCAGGAGCCGATGGAGTACGATCCAAACGGGCAACTCGCCTGGCTCATCTCCGAGCTGCAGGCCGCTGAGACGGCGGGCCAGCGCGTCTGGCTCATCGCGCACATCCCCACGGGCGGTACCGACACCCTGCGCGACTACTCGCACTACCTCGACCAGATCATCCAGCGGTACGACGCAACCATCGCCGCCCTGTTCTTCGGCCACACGCACACCGACCTCTTCCAGGTCTCCTACGCCGACCCGGCGCATCCCAGCGCGGACTCCGCCTCCGCCGTCGGGTACATCACCCCCTCGCTCACCCCGACCTCGGGACCCCCAGCCTTCCGCATCTACGACATCGACCCGGTAACCTTCGCCGTGCTGGACTACACCGTCTACACCGCCAACTTCTCCACCGATACCGCCCCGGAATGGACAAAATACTACTCCGCCAAGGAAAGCTACGGCGCCCTCCTCAGCCCACCCCTCACCGACCCAACCGCAGAACTCACCCCGGCCTTCTGGCACAACGTCACGGCCCTCATGGAAACCGACAACTCCGTCTTCCAGGCGTGGTGGGCGCGCACGACCCGCGGGTTCAACGTACCCGAATGCAACGCGCAGTGCGCACGCGACCAGATCTGCTCGCTGCGGGCGGCAGATGCGCAGTACGGCTGTGTGCGCGGCACGCTGTCCATTACCAAGCGCGACGGCCTGGACCTCGGCGGTGCTGCCCCTGCCCCTGGCCCGCACGTGCACGTGCAGTCCTCTCGGCCGCAGTGTGAGGAGGCCGGGCTGGCGAGGGTGTTGGCGGCCGTGATACGCGAGACGGATGACTTGCAGGGGCTGCTTTTGCAGCGGGCTGAACTGTATATCTAATTGTTCCATTGTATTGAATTAGAGCTTCGTGGAGGACTAGTATCTACTCCATAGTCCATACACAAGGAGTACGAAAAGGACACGTGATCGTCAAGATTGGACGTGGTGATCATGCCCCTGATGATCAGTACGAGAACGGTTGTACAGCGACCAAGGTCTTACCTCAGCCTCACAAATCAAACCTAAATAGGCCTAAGAACTCAAGACCAAGCGTCAGGTGAAAAAGCTGTTGCCTAAACTAAATAGCAAACTTTTCTATCATTGTTCGTAAACGGTAAAACGTTCCCTAATCTAAGAATAAACTGCCGTTCGTTGGATATGATGATGGGCGGAATTTCCTGATTCTCGTCCAATCGTATCACAACTTGTTGCGCCTAGACCTCCCGTGTCTGTGTTTGTGTCTCCCATGTCGTTGATCTGATCGTAGTCGTCGTAGAAGGAAAAAAAAAGGAGAACAAAGGACTGCAGTCGCCATTCCGAGCTAGCCGGAAATGCAAGCGATTGCGTGCTCGGATTTGCTGCTTTCTCGCTTGTCTCATTGCAGCAAGAAGGGGAAAAAAACATTTGGCTCTTGAGGAAGATGGCCAACGTCTTATGAACATGAATATAAATCGATACACGAGCAAACGGGGCTCATGAATTCGTTTTGGTATAAAAAAGGTCGAAAGAACGAGTGGAAGAAGATAAGTTTAAGGCAACGAGGAAGAGAAACTGTCCGAAGTCCGAACACGCTACAGTCCTTTAATTCAACAAGCGATCAACGCTTTAGTTGATGTACCACGACACGCCCTGGAGAAGGCCCGCATTCATATCAGCCAGCTCGCCGAAGAGGTGCCGGGACACATCGGCATGGGTGGGGTCGCAACCCATGCACTTGTCCACGACGGTACCGGTCTTGGTGATACCGTTGTAGGTGAAGGTCACGGTCTTGCCGCAGTCAGCGTCAGTCATTATGAGCTTGGAAAGCGCGACCACGTTCTCTGTAAAGCCGTCATTGGTCAGACCGCAGCTGCCGATAGCCGCGTCGTAGAACGTGAGCTGGCCAACGAAGGGGGAGTCCTTGGAACAGCTGCCGCTGCTAGCGGCTGTGGGGGTGGACTGAGGAGCCTGGCTAGTAGTAGAAGCGGAAGGAGCCGCGGGGGGTGCAGGCTGAGGAGCCTTTTCTTCAGGGGCGGGCGCAGCAAAAGCGACAGGGGTTGGTACAGCGACAGGAGCGGGCTGAGCCTGAGAGGTTTCCGGCTGCACAGAGGCCTCGATGGGCTTGGGCTGCTCGGGAGTAGGTGTCGGGGTCGGGGTAGACTCAACGACAGGGGGAGTGGGAGTTGGAGTCTGCGGGGTAGGGTAGATGGTAGTAGTCACATCGACGGTGGTCCAGACGACAGTGGTGACCGTTGTCCACACCACCACCACATCGTTTTCACGTTTGTTAAGGTCGACAGGGGCGGCCGAGCTGATGGCAGCGAAAAGAGCGCTAGCGAGCGCAAGGGGCTTGAAGATGGGAGCCATTGCGCGAGTATGATATTGAAATCCAAGTGATTCAACGCAGAGTGTTCTTTGTAGAGAAGGTGGTTTGTCGGATTGATCGACACGGATTTTGATAGATCGATTTGAGTGAAGGAATGGGGTTCAGTCAGATAGATAGACAGAGACTGCGCAGCAGTATGAAGTATTGACTGATGCTCCAAGAGAAGGCTGGAGCCTGGAATGAAGGAACGACAGGAAGCTGTCAAAGGGAAGGACTGTGGTGGTAGACGAAGGGGAGAAAGAGAGAGGGATACTGGCGCGGAGGGAGGAAATCGGTATTTAAGAGAATCCACCTGGGAATGAACTAGTCGCCAGCCATGTCTTCCACGCATTAAGAGTCGAGACTCTCCAACATTGTCAGGCTAACCAGAACAGGGTAGAGCAGGTTCACTGTTAGCCTCTCACTAAGGCACATAATAATACACTACTCTGTACCAACCAAAGGCGTGGTAAGTGAATAATGAGGAATACTCTCATTACCCACGAAATAATACTTATTTGCTGATTATTACCTGCGGGCCCAGCGGGCCAGTGATAGAATTCATGGAGACTGGCCAGCATGGGATGAACCCATGGACAACTTGTCTGCAATGTGTGGTGGGCTTTGCTGGACAAATCAGACTGCTTTTTAAGGTCCGTCTGGTCCGTCTGGTCCCACCCACCGTTCTCTCCCAGTGCCCCAGTCCTCTCACTGTTGGAGGTGAGATACAGGTACCGTAGGTAATACCATGAAGTGGTTGCCAGCATTCTTGGGCCGGGCCGTTTCCCAGTAATAGGTTGCTATGGTTTCTAGTCATATGGGGAGAGCTTGCAACCTTGGGACATCAGCCAAATATTCCAGCTCACCGATGGTACCTGACTCTGGCGACCAACGCATCAACCGGATACTTTCTGCTCTGTCGATGCTCACCAGTAAGGTGCCAGGATGACGGGTGATTGGGGCGAAATTTCAGGCTGAGCGGGTACCTGAATTGGAGGCGTCGAAAATCAAGAGCGATTGGCTGATTGGCTCAAAGGGAAAGCCGCCGGTGAGGCACCCCTGCTTGGTGTTAACTCTCTTTAACTCTAAGCCTAATAAAGCTAGGAATAGTGGGCGTATGATTTATGATTGGCTGACTGAGGCAACTGATTCCTTTCGTTTGTCGCCTCTGTTTTCCGCTAACAAAGCCGTCCCTTTGGTGCCTGAACCTGGATGCCCCTCAGCCTCAGCCACAATACTTTCGCACAAAAATGAAACATGGGAGGCTGTGTATGATTTTTTTGTTCTTGAACATGAAGCAAATCTGTAACTTGCTTCATCTAGGATAGGATAAGAGTCTATCTCTTCTGTACAACCCGAGTCGATCTCTCGAAAGAAGAGGCCTCATTCTCCACCACCAGGGTTCAGGGATATGAGCCAGACCACTCGTAATGAGGCAAACAGCAGAACCAACGACAAGAAGATCCGATTCGTATCCGGCCACTTTTCGACTGTCTGACATGTGTTCTTCGGTGGTTCCTGTACAGACCGGGAGTATTGGTCAAGTACGAGACACTGTGCACGCCACCCAGGCACACCAGTCCAACACTGGCCGCCACTGCCAATTGAGACAACGACGCAGCAGCAACCATCATGATTTGCGGATGTAACCGATGAACTGGCTCTAATCTCGCAGACTCATCGTCATCCTTACTACATCTTTTCGACTGGTGGCATGCAGGCTCTAGAATCAGGACTTGACAACACAACTGTCCAATAAAATATTCAGTCCCCTGGCGGGACTGTCGGACTTGACTGGGAACGGTCTCTCTGTCGATAGGCAGATTATCCTTGACAAAGACGAGAAATGGTCTGATTCTCTCAGGTCTCGACTCAGATCAATGATCGTTTTATACTCGATCAGGGAATAATTCTCCAGGCCTTTTTTTTGTGTGTGTCTACACTCTACACCCTACAGATCCCGACAGTGACGATAGTGCATGTTGCCCCTCTAAAGAAAATGGAAAAAGGAAAGCAAATCTCCACATCCATTATTCTCTCTTCGTTATCCTTGAAAATCGAAAATCTCCTCACTGGATCTGTCCTTCTGTGGCAACTGTTAACAACTGGACTGGCAAGATTCACGAGCTTTGACCTCCAGACTGTCGATGGACGCTAAATCTAGACAGTCCAGCGGCAAGTCTGGACACTCGTCCCTGCAGCTCTTAATTAAATCGACCAAGCTTCAGGATTTGTGATCCATCGGCATTGACTATGTAGATTGCTATCTGAAATATTGTGTTAATAATTATCTAGGAGCCACTCCATTGATCCATACTCGGTAGGTGCAGTCTACCCACAGTGGCTATTTGCACGATTGGATGCAAATTGCTTCCACTTCATATTCCGAGCATCCCATCGTCGCTGACCCACTCCACCTATTGACACATCGTTACTCAGAAATATGAGGACAAAAGAGGAAAGGGTGTGTCATGGACTTGAGAAAAACTCATTCCTATTCATCCGAGTCAAAACACAACAAGATACTGCACCGTAAACAATCGACCAGTCAGGATCTAAGTACACGAAAACCCTTTTCCCTCCAAACAAACAGCATATGAAGAGTAACATGAATAGTTGCCAGTATTGCCAGAGAAAAGCGAACATAAGAAAAGACCATCAAGCTCATAATATAAATACATCAGAAACTGTATCAAATAGAAGCGCCTCAAGCGCCTGCAATCAATTACCATAAACCACCCCGACTAACCTTGGCACATCAGACAAGCCTCCTTGTTCTCGATGCTGCACTGAAGGACCTTTTGAGAGTAAATGTCGCTCTCACGCTCGCCGCTCTCCCGCTCATCATCTTCCTCCTGGGAGCCGTTCACCACGGTTTCACCATCTGCGGTGACATCGGCGGCAAGAGCTCGCGGGCTGCCGTCCTCGCTGTGACCATTGAGCGGAGCGCTCGTTGTACGAGGAACAGCAGAGTATGTGGTGGACACGGATCCAGCGGCTCTCTTCTTGTAGGCAGCGTTGGCCCGAGCAACGTTGGTGTCGGCAACCTTGAGTTGCTCCTGATCAACAGTAAACTGAATGGGAGCGGAGGCAGCCATAGTACGCAGGTAGTACATGCCAGTCTTCAGACCCATCTTCCATCCAGCAAAGTGCATACTGGTGAGCTTGCCCATGGTAGGCTCCTTCAGGTGAATGTTGAGAGATTGAGACTGGTCAATGAAAGCACCACGGTCGGCGGCCATTTGCAGGATGGTACGCTGGGAGATTTCCCACACGGTCTTGTAAAGAGCCTTAATGTCGGCGGGAATATTGGGAATGTTCTGAACGGAACCACCATCCGCGATGATACGGTTCTTCATGTTGTCCGACCACAGACCAAGGTCGACAAGGTCCTTGAGAAGCCAGGGGTTGACGACCTGGAACTCACCAGCAAGGACACGGCGAGAGTAGATGTTCGAGGTGTAGGGCTCGAAACATTCGTTGAAGCCCAGAATCTGGCTGGTGCTTGCAGTGGGCATCGGTGCCACCAACAAACTGTTGCGAACACCGTTCTGGGCAATCTTGGCCTTCAGAGAATCCCAGTCCCAGAGGTCCGTGGGGGTTCTGTCCCACATGTCATACTGGAGAATACCTTGAGAGACGGGGGAGCCCTCGTAGGTTTCGTAAGGACCAAACTCTTTGGCCAGCTCACACGAAGCAGTCAGAGCACCGTGATAGATGGTCTCAAAGATCTGGATGTTTAGCTGTCTGGCCTCGGCAGAGTCGAATGGCAGACGCAGGGCAAGGAAGGCATCAGCCAGACCATTGACACCAAGAGCAATGGGGCGATGGCGCATGTTGCTCTTCTTGGCCTCGGGAACAGGGTAATAGTTGACGTCAATAATCTTGTTCAAGTTGCGAACCAAGACCTCCACAACCTCGTGCAGCTTGCCGAAGTCATACTCTCCACGGGCGGCGTCGACGAAGGTAGGAAGCGCAAGAGATGCCAGGTTGCAGACAGCAACTTCGTCAGGAGCACTGTACTCAATGATCTCCGTGCAAAGATTGGAGCTGCGAATAGTTCCCAGGTTCTTCTGGTTGCTCTTCTTGTTGCAGGCATCCTTGTAAAGCATAAAGGGGTTGCCAGTCTCGGTCTGAGCCTCAAGAATAGCATACCAAAGCTTTTGAGCCTTGATGGTCTTACGGCCACGGCCTTCCTTCTCGTATCTATTTCACAGTCAGCACATAACCAAAGGACTGGTGGCCATGGCGCAAACTCACTGTTCATAAAGAGCATCAAACTCGTCGCCATAAACATCTGCCAGGCCAGGGGCTTCATTGGGACAGAACAAAGTCCAGTCACCGTTGGACTCAACTCGCTTCATGAACAGATCTGGGGTCCACAGAGCGTAGAACAGATCACGGGCCCTGACTTCCTCCTTACCGTGGTTCTTGCGAAGATCCAAGAACTCAAAGACATCGGCGTGCCAAGGCTCGAGGTAAATAGCAAAAGCGCCAGGGCGCTTGTTTCCTCCCTGGTCGACATATCTGGCAGTGTTGTTGAACACGCGAAGCATGGGAACAATACCGTTAGAAGAACCGTTGGTGCCACCAATGTAGGAGCCCGTGGCACGGATGCGGTGAACGTTAAGACCGATACCGCCGGCGGTCTTCGAGATCATGGCACAAGTCTTGAGGGTGTCGTAGATACCTTCGATGCTATCCTCCTTCATGTCGACGAGGAAGCAAGACGCCAGCTGGGGCTGGGGAGTACCAGCATTGAACAGAGTAGGAGAAGCATGAGTGAAGTATTTCTGGGACATGAGATGGTAGGTCTCAATGGCCTTTTCAATATTGTTACCGTGAATACCGACGGCAACACGCATCAACAAGTGCTGGGGACGCTCAGCAACCTTGCCGTTGATTCGCAGCAGGTAGGAACGCTCAAGTGTCTTGAAGCCGAAGAAGTTGTAGTTGAAGTCACGATCGTATACAATAGCAGAGTTGAGCTCATCGGCATGTT